ATGAAATGATTTAAAAATAGAAAAATATCAAATGGTAATGAATTTTTAGTCGAAGAATCATAACTATATATTTTGATGCGTTGAAGGACCAATGGTAATAGATAGCTGCATGTTTTGATGTGTTGAGGGACCAATGGTAATGAATTTTTAGTTAAGGGATCATTACTCCAATTAAGTTAAAATTAAGAGACCATTACTACAATTTACTCAAGATCAAATGATTCAAATTCTTGAATCTTGCTGCTGCAAATCATTAAGTTGCATTATTATTAAAAATATTTGGTGTTAGGGGATTGGTTAAAAATCTATCCACACAAAATTGTAATTTCAGATAATGACACATGTCACGACGAGTTTGGTTAAAAATTTCATCTGAAATTAAACATAAAATTATCTTTTATTATTTTAAAAAAAATAGTTTTTTTAATACCAATTGCCTAGACAATTTATTTACGAAGTAAAGATGTACTTGAACAATTACTATTTACTAAGACAGTAATTACCTTGCCCAATTACCTGCACAGTAATTACCTTAGTTCCCATTCCAAACCTTCCACTAGAAGGTTGTTATAGTGAAGTGACCCTAAGAGCCATCAAAACAATTATATAATATCACAGAAGTTTAACATGTGGCGAAATTTTTAACACGGGTGTTATACCACGTGCTTTTAAAAAAGTGATGAAATATTTTATTTTTTAAGTTATTAATTTTTTAATAGACATATCATACTTTTTGTATAATATATGTGATATACCATCCGGATTCTGATTATAATGAAAAATCTTCCCAACATGTGGCCATCGTGGTTTTGGGGCCTAAAGCATGGCCAAGCCCAAGTCCCTTGACTGTAGTGATTGGTTCCCTTTCCAAACCTTCAACCAGGAGGTCGTCATAGTGAGGTGGCTTCCTCTGAGCCACCAAAATGACTATACAATATCTAGTTCCAACGGTGATAGAGTAGTTAGTCAAGGAATCCTCAGTCCTCCATCCAACGGTGATCAAAAACATGGTCAACAAATTTTCTTTCATTGGTGACGTGGACAGAGTTGACAAGTCTTCCCTAATTTATGTGGATAGTATGTTACATCAACAACCTAAATATGAGTGTTGTCGTTGTTAACTTTTGTTTTTCGTTTCTTTACGAGAAATTATTTGCACGGATTAGCATAGCATGAGAAATGTCTCCACCTTACGACGAATCTTGCATAAAATGTGGTTGGTAATTTACAACACATATGCCCCAGCTTGACAATTCATTCGGTGACTTCATGGCCACGAATGAATTAGAGGCTTGGGTTGATGATCTATTAGTTGATTCAAAATTTTAGTCATTTTCTCCATTTAATCAGTGCCAAAATCGGTAGCATCAATCCTCTTTTTACCCCACGCTTTTCATAATTACTATCACGTCTTTGAATAAATTTATATAGAACAAATTCATAGTTATGATAATGTTACGCTATAATGTTACGCTATACATTGGTATGTGAAAAAAAATTTAAACGTGATACTAAATTATTTAAGTGAGATGCTACGTGACAGTAAATTCGTTTGATATATATGTCATTCTCCTTATCTTTAGGTTAGCCTACGGTGAGTAGGAAACGAGTTATGATAAGGGTTCCATTTCCTTCGAAGTAACTTAAAAAGGGAGTCTCGCCCACCAACAGTGGATTTGCTTTTACAGTGAATATTAAATATCTTTATTTTCTACAATTGTTGCTCCCAATTAAGTAGTTTATTTTTTTATTTTTTTTAGTACATCGATATTTTTACACTTTGGGGAAGGAGAATCCGGCTAAGCCACATAATGTGCAGTCTAATTTGGTATCGAATTCGCCATTTACGAGATTTGAACCTAAGACCTCTCACTTCTAAGCGAAGAGGAATATTACCAGACCGTAGTATTGAGTGACCAATTAACTAGTATTAGACAGAAGTTAATGTTCTACTTAAAACAAATTGGTAACATTAGGAATCAACCAACTTATTATGAGGACATGCAAAAATTTGATAACTTTTTATGTGTGTGATTTAAGTAGATCATAGGGGCAATACAAAACATTTTACTTTGAATAATATATATAAATTACCTATCAATAAGGTTTGAAAAAACAAACTGGAAATAGAAAAAAAATTCAGGATTCATTCATCCATCAATCCTTCACAATATATACTTCAATATTGCTGCTGCGAATCATCAAATCACATTATTTCTACAGCTTAATAAAGAATTCATGCGCATGCACATTATGATATCAAACCAAAGTACATCAAAGGCATTGGTAAAGCTGAAGAGGAAGGCGTGGAGCAAGAAAAACCTCTACCTGCACTAAATGGAATATACTTGAAATTACTTTGACCCTTGAAATCCACGTCAGCATGAGTGGTTACAAACCTCTCAGGTTGAAACTCACAAGGGTTGGCCCACATGCGTGGGTCCCGCTGCAACTTCCAAATGTTGACTAGCAAATGAGTGCCCTTGGGGACGAAGTAGCCACCAAGATGACAGTCCTTCGTGGCCTCACAGAGGCCTGTGATTTGGCCAGGTGGGTATAGGCGTAAGGTTTCCTTAAGAATGGCTTGGAGGTATTTGGGTTTGTGAGGTCTGATTCTTGAACCCATCGGTTTCTTCCTACGTCGATGTCCAACTCTTCCTGGGCAGAATTAAGGACTTTTTGGTTGTTGAGGAGTAAGGAGATTGCCTACGTTAGTGTCACAGATGTGCTTTCTGTGCCAGTTGCCATTAGCACCTGCAAAAGGAAGGAAAATAGAAAACAAATTAATCCAATTTTTCCAATCCAACTAATATGATATAATTGAAGCTTATTTACTTGCAACAAAAAATTGACATGTTATGCATCACATCAATTGGTAAAAAAAATTAAATAAGAGTTCATTTATGTGGTACTATACTTAGCATGTCACTTAGTATTACATTTGCTTATGATTACTGTCAAGTGTAATCTCAGAGCACATGCTAATTAAGTATAGTTGTACAAGTTCACATAAACTTATAACAAAGTTATGGTGACTTGGGTGCACCATTTTGTATACATAGTTAGGTATTAAAATATGAACATGTGTTATATTTTAAATGACTCATAACTCAACGTCAAACGTATGGTTTGTGCCATACATAATTACATATTACACCAAATAAACTTACCAGTGCTGTTGCTTTGATGACAGTATCACGGTTATGGCAATAAAATTTCATCCTCCTCAAAGTTGGGTATCATAACATCCATCAAGTCACTCTCAACCCTATTATTCTTGCTTTCCAATCTTCTTTGTCGATGTTCTTCAAGCCATTTCCCAAGTACGTAGTCCAGTTCCTTAGTTTTCAAGAATTTCTAACTTTTTGGGTTTAATTGGGTTATGGTTTACTTGGGTTGGGTTCGGGTTGCCCAACTTTTTCAAGTTCAATCTTGTAACAACTTAGTTTCCAAGAATTCCTAAAAAAATTAAGCCAAGTAGCATCAAAGCTAGCTAATTTTAATTTCATAAATCTATCTACTATAAAGCTTTAGGATTTAGAGACTACAAATATGGGCAAACTAATCAATGCCTCTTATTCCCTAAAAGCTTAAGTAATTATAAAGGTTAATTTATTAAAAAAATATTGGAAAGTGCGTTGGTTTTTGGACTTGGCTCACTTAGGTGTAGTATGAGCATTAATTGATATGAGTCACAATCTGGTTAGATTGGGTTTGGTTAGTCGGGTTGGGTTAGGTTGAGGATGGATGCGCAAATAATCAACCCAACTTAACTCAATCAATGCACGAGTTGAAATTGGGTTGGGTTTGGGCGGGTTATAACAAAAAAAAAATCCACCTGTTCGGGTTTAAAATCGAATTAGACATGGACGGGTTCAGATTGGCCTAACCCAAGCTGCAGCCCTACACACAATATCATGCTTGGCAATTACAATACACACACGTGTTCCTAGAGACGAATATGCTGGACACTATAAAACTTTTGATTGAATTTGTAACTGAAGGAAAAATCAAGAAGATGATGAAATTGAATATGTAAATCACACAGCACAAGTTCAACATGTGGCCATTATCTTTTTGACCATCGATAGAAGTAGCTTTAGAAATTCTCCACGTTAATTATTTTGGTTAGTATATGAAAAAATTTCGTTAAATTAAGTGTATATTTATCAAATCAATTCGTCCACTTAAATTGATGATTTCTTCAATTTAACGGAAATTTTTTCATAAAATAACCAAAATAATTAACCGTTGACAATCTTAAAAATCAATTCTATTGATTTTTTTTTTAAAAAAAAAACCATTTAAGGGTGGTCAAATTTATGGTAATAAGTTTTCTTTCATCGGTGACATGAACAAAGTTGACGAGTCTTCTTTAATATATGTGCAAAGCATGTAGGAATAAGGATCCTCTCCTGATCATTTTTGTGAGGATTTCGGAGATCCGTGTATTATATCCATTTATCGTACATCGTGCGGTCAGAAATTATTTTAAATTTTATTATTTAAAATTGAATACAAATAATATTTAAAGAAAACTGACCGTACAAAGTATGATAAATAGACATGATTTACGAATATCTGAAATCCTCACAAAGAGGATTCGGAGAGGATTTGGATTCAGCATGTAGCACCAACAACCTTCATATGAGTACTGTCATTGTCAACTTTCATTTTTTGTTTCTGTACGAGAAATTATTTGCATAAATTAATTAGCATGAGAAATGTCTCCACCTTACGACGAATCATGCATAAAATGTGGTCGGTAATTTACTACATATAGCATCACTTCTCTTTATACTTCCACGCTTTCCATAATTATTTTCTTATATCTATGGGAGCAATCTATATAAAACAAATTCGCTACTATAATAATGACTTCTGAAGAAAAATTTAAGCGCATTCTAAAAAATAATGAAGAAACATGTGTCCGATGCTTGAACAGATATATTGTCATTAAAGAAATAGAGATTGAATGTGAAAACATAACAATGAGCATATGCAAAAGATTGATAATTTCTTTTATATGTGAGATATTTCTTCACATTATTACAGTATTAAGTAGATCATAGGGGCAATACAAAACATTTTACTTTGAATAATATTTAAATTACCTATCAACAAGAGTTGAAAAAAAAAAAAACTGGAAATACATAAGGATTCATACATCCATCAAACCTTCACAATATATTACTTCAATCTTGCTGCTGCAAATCATCAAATCACATTATTTCTACAGCTTAATAATTAATAAATGCCCATGCACATCATGATATCATACCAAAGTACTTCAAAGTTCAAAGGCATTGGTAAAGCTGAAGAGGAAGGCGTGGAGCAAGCAAAACCTCCAGTGGATTTGCTTTAGGCAGCGCAAGCCCCAATCCTTCCTTCATATCCACCGCCCCATCACCAACTCTACTCATATCAAATCCCTGAATCAAACGAGCCAGAACCAATTGCACCACATGCAACCCTAGTGTCATACCAGGGCAAGACCTTCTACCTGCGCTAAATGGAATATACTCGAAATTACTTTGACCTTTGAAATCCACGTCAGCATGAGTGGTCATGAACCTCTCAGGTTGAAACTCACAAGGGTTGGTCCACATGCGTGGGTCCCGCTGCAACTTCCAAATGTTTACTAGTAAACGAGTGCCTTTGGGGACGAAGTAACCACCGAGATGACAGTCCTCCATGGCCTCACGGAGGCCTGTGATTGGGCCAGGTGGGTATAGGCGTAGGGTTTCCTTAAGAATGGCTTGGAAGTATTTGAGGTTTGTGAGGTCTGATTCTTGAACCCATCGGTCTCTTCCTACGTGGATGTCCAACTCTTCCTGGGCAGATTTGAGGACTTTTTGGTTGTTGAGGAGTAAGGAGATTGCCCATGTTAGTGTCACAGATGTGCTTTCTGTGCCAGTTATCATTAGCACCTGCGAAAGGAAGGAAAATAGAAAACAAATTAATCCAAGTTTTCCAATCCTAACTTATACGATATAACTGATGCTTATTTACTTGTAACAAAAAAATTGACATGTTATGTGTCATGTCAATTGGTAAAACAAATTAAATAAGAGTTCGTTTATGTAGTATTATACTTGGCACATGTCACTTAGTACTAAATTGTTTATGATCACTGTCAAGTGTAACCTCAGAGTGCATACTAATTAATTATAATTCTACAAGTTCAAACAACCTTAGTAATAACAAAGTCTACAGTGTCTTTGGTGCACCATTTTGTATTTACAGTTAGGTATTTAAATATGAACATGTGTTATATTCTAGTGGACTCATAACACCAAGTAAACCATATGGTTTGTACCATATACATAATTATATATTACACCAATCAAACTTACCAGTGCTGTTGCCTTGATGACATTATCACAGCTATGGCCATAAATTTCATCCTCCTCAAAGTTGGATATCATAACATCCATCAAGTCACTCTCAACCCTATTATTCTTGCTTTCCAATCTCCTTTGTCGATGTTCTTCGAGCCATTTCCCAAGTACGTAGTCCAGTTCCTTAAAACATTTCTTCATGGAACTCACGTGACCAAACAAACCGTCCAGCCACTCAAAACATGGCATAGCATCTGACCAGACAAAAACACCAAAGAGATACAAAGTCTCTTTTATCGCCTTCTCAAAACGCCAAACGTCCCCGTGTTTCTCATTATACTGGTCAGCCGTCAATCTCTTCCCAGCGATCAACTTCATGTTTATGTTAAATGTCAAGTGCTCTAATAACTCACTCATATGCACTGATGACGTCGATGACGGGGAACTTGGATCCACATTATCTTTTTTGCAAACTTGTGAGTGCAAAGTTTTGATGAAGGAGTCAACTTCTGAGGCCCTGACGTGGCTCAAGGTTTTAACTCTTCGGCTCGAGAGAAGCTCCATGGTGGCCATTTTACGGACGTTGCGCCAGTAGTCTCCGTACGGAGCGAGGGCAAAGATGGCGTTGTCATAGCCCAAGTACCTGCCGCCGGCTGTATTCGCCCGGGTGGCGAAAACTCTGTCATTTTTGGTGAACAATTCCTGGACTTGTTCCCAAGCGCTGAGAACAAGCAGTTCGTGCTGGCCAAGCTTGAGGGAGTAGATGGGTCCGAGTTGATCAGCCATGGCTCCGAGGATAAGTGCAACTGGGTTTTCGTCACGTAGTAGAGGGAGGTGACCTACGAAGGGCCATGCTCCGGAGGGTTGAGGGACTTTAGGCATCATGGTCTTTTTGTTTGTTGTGTTCTTCTTAGTGTTTGCTGTTGCTATGACTCTCAAGGCACCGTAGAGAATTAGAGAAGCTAAAATTGCATGAAAGATTTGGAATGGAGAAATTGTTGAATCCATGGTGGTGACTGGTGAGAGAGAGTTAAGTGGTAGTAAGATTGTGTGGAGGATATATAGACTAGTAGATTTTGGGATGTGTGTGTAGGAAAAGAGGCGTGCAGCACGTATTCCATGAAAGAATTGAGTTTCACTCAAATAGCATTTAAAATCCACGCACGTGACAAATATTCATTGTACTCTTGCTGAGCCCTTCAAACTAGGCGAGTATAGTTTATATGCGCATAAAATATTCATTATACATGTGTTTTTAGTAAAAGACGAAAGAAAAAGAGTACTGGGCGGACCCATTTTTTTGGGACTCTATTACGGTCCATACGTTTAAAGTGTCACACCATGTGGATTTGAAGTGTCACACTACATGTGGAAAGAGGCAAGAGCCACAAACTTGATGGCCATGGCCCACAAGTAGTGGCCTTTTCTACTCAAAAACCACAATTTTTGGTTACTCTTTCGTTCGGTACCATGTTTTGCATGACTGATGATAAGTTGATATTATACTATATATTTTATCTTAATTTTAGTTATGATTTAGTGGTTTTTTTTGTGAAAATTTTGATGCTTTGATTTATATTCTTAATGTAGGACATTCGACTTCTTCTGGAGCAAAATATGATGAAGCGGACGATTTTTAGAGTGATTCAAATTGGAGGACGTTCATGTGTCTCTCAACTTGTTCGTATCAAAGTTTCATAATTTTCTACCTAGCGGTTTATTTATGGCAATGAAATATTATTTGGGCTTTTTGGTGTCTAAAATGATGTCTTTTGGGTTCAAGGCCATCTACAATTATGTTTGAGACATCTCAAGCTTTAATTCTAGGGAGTTTTAACAAAACACTCCCAATACTATTCACTTTTAACGAAAAACCATATTTTTACCTTTTCCTGATACTATTCATTGCACCTATATTTGTCATTTTTCATTAAAACAAAAGTTTTTTTGGAGTTTTCGTTAATTTTCCTTTAATTCTAGTCATTTGGGCTTACTTTAGAGCCTTGAAAGTTCAAAAAGTGATTGATTTGTGGTTGGGCAGATTTCTCATATTTGATTAAGATTATGTTTCCTAGTTTCTTTTAAGTTATTATGTTTCCTAGTTTTATTCTAAGACCTTTTCTAAGTAGGGTTTTATTTTCTAGTAGTATAAATAAGGCTATTTAGCCATTAGAAAGTGAGGGGAAAAAAAGGCGTAGAACACACTACTTTGGAGCTTTTAACAATTCAAGTTTATTTATATTTTGTTTATGATTGTTAGTAACTCATCTCTTTTGCAGGATGAGGCCACGAGTCTTACCAAGAATATGTAGTTTCTTTTCAATTTACTTATGATATTATACATGTAGATTTGAATTATTAATCATCGGTTTAAACTATCTAATTGTCTTGATGCTTAGCTACCATTAGGATCTTTAGAAAAGTAATTTGATGCAATTTTGATCGAAGGTCAGTCTCTAAAATTGACAAAGGCTTCTTGTGGTTAATATGTGGAAGTTCACTTAGGATGAATACCAAGCCTTAAGGGTTGCATGTTTTTTCAAAAGGTTTCACAAAACTAAATGAGTCATGTATATTTAAATTTGATATGAATACCACATACAGATTGTATGTTTGATATATGCTCTATGTTGGGGGTCCAAGTAGGCATATATTAGGAAAACTTAACCTTCAAATATGCATGCGTAATTCATAAGTAAGTGGAAGAATTACATAGGATTGTTAAGGTAACGACGGAACCCTCGTGCTTTCACAATTTAATTTTTAAAAACCATTTTCTTTTAGTTTATTTTATTTTGCCAATTTATTTAATTATTTCTCTTAAATTCGTTTTTATTATTTTAAATCACCAAATCAACCTTTTCTCAAACTTTGTTTTAAATAATTAATTAAGATTTAATTTTGACATAAATATTCATTCAATCCTTGTAAAAAACAACCTTGCTAGAACTACTATACTACGATTACCTTGTCCTCTTGCAAGTATTTTAAGTGTTTTTGTACTTTTGCAGGTGGTAAATATCCCATCAAGTAATTGGCGTTATTGCCAGGAATTGTTTTAAATAATTTGTGTACATCAATTCTTAGTTAATTATTTTTGTAAATATTTTTTTATTTACTTGATTTTTTTTTAGGTAACAATTTGTTGATTTTGAGAGCATTGCAGCAATGCATTGGTTTGGATTCTCACAAGGAGCACCTACAGTTTGTGCTCTTTGCGATTTGAATACCCATGATATTATGTATTGTCCTCAAAGCCAGTATTTTCTAGAGTTTGTGCAGCACCATATAAATATGAGGAACAATTTCAGAGGCCTAGGTGCAACTCAAATTTTTCCAATCCATCTTGGCCAGAGCATAAAAATCCTATGTGGGAGTGTATTAAACAGCCTTTTGAACGGCCTCATGCACCAGCAAAAGCTGATTGGGAGGTTGCAGTTGAGAAATTGGCAGACAGTACCCTTACAAGGCTTGATCAAGCCGATCAAGAAATTCATAATATTCATAAATCAATAAAAAAATCTGGTGCATCAATGGAAAGAACAGGAGGAAGAGGAGTTTCCTAGTCAACCAATTACTAATCCACAATGTTCAGAGGAATGCTGCATAATTCAACCATCCCAATGTGTGGAGAGCTATTATAATTACATGCTGGGAGATATTGAAATTAAAGAGCCATCAACGTATGACTCGTGCACAATGGAGGAAAAAGCACCTAATGATCCTGAAAGTTCAAAAGAATTTGCTCCTACCAAGGTCTGTGTGCCACACATACTATTTCAAAGGGCTGCAATGCAACCCACAAAGTTGCAGGAACACGTTGAAACTGACGGGTTGGACAGTGTTGTTCAAAACTAGTCAAAATTTGATGATTCCCATGATAAGATTTTGAGCTCTAACCATTTGGATACGGGGCAGGCTATTGATAAAAAAAAGTTTTGGTTGTTGAATTAAACAAGCCAACAGTAGAGCCCATAAAAAATGTCAGGGCCAATTTTATGAACAGGCTAAATTCTACAAGGGCAAGCATGAAGAGCTTAGCGACAGCCAAATTCTTCGTCAAGAAATTCAGCCAGTGCAGAAATTGTGAATGTTAAATACCAGGTTTAAGTCAATTCAACGGATACATAAGTCTCATTGTAGGGGATTCTATTTGATTACGAAGATTCATTCACAAAGAAGGCTGAATATGATGGATTCAAGCACTCCCTTGAAACACATAATTGACAAACATCTTATTCCGTACCTACTGTTGCCTTATGATGTTGTTAAAACGTGGTTGACTCTAAGAGAGCAAGTGACATGATTATCAATTCCTTCCTCTATGTCTAGCTATATACGTTAACTAAAATGCTAATTGGAAGGCAACCCAATTTTTCTAAACTCTTTTCTTTTTAATTTCATTCATTTTATTTTCTTCCTTTTTAGTCTTTTATCACAAAAATAAAAAAAAAATAAAAAAAACTATCAGAATATTGAAAAACACAAAAACAACCATTTTTTTAGTTAATCAGTATTTTATTTTGGGTTTTATTCTAATTAGTTTTTTATTGTGTGATCTTTGCAGGTTGCATTGGAAGCAATTCAGTCCTAAAAATCCACTAAGCGCGCAAATTCATCTGAATCATGCATTCAGCAGCATTTATACATTCAACTCAGCACATCAGCATTCATCATCATTCATCATCAACGAAAAGTGCAGAAAATTAATCGAATGCAGCAATATGCACAGGCAGTGTTCCAAACATACTCACAGTGGGGTGGGTGATGAAGCCCAAAAATCGCAGAAGGAGAGTGAGCACTTTTACCTGCCATGGACAAAGATCCCAGTGATGGCTGTGCCGAGATGTTATCAATCTGGGCTTGCGGCTTTAATTTCCCAAACCCGAAGTTTGGGGGTTGCAGGTTGCATTTCGAACAACAGTTACGGCCTTGGACAAAATGGGCACGGCCAGAAAGTAGAGATGGATTAAGGTTAGAGATAAGGAGCCCTCACCGCTCTGGGCTCGAGGCTGGAGAGAGAAGCGGCTGAGGGTTTCGACGCTCGAAATAACAAGGGGTTTTTTGAAATGGGTCTAAAGTAACTAAAAATTGAACCTATTTCAAAAATCAAAAGTCATTAAAAATTGGACCTATTTCAAAAGATAGTCTATAAAATTGAACCTATTTCAAATTTTCCCAAATAACAAATGGGAAATGAAATGGGGGTGTTCTAGTTTTTATTATGGTGCACGTGTGCACTTGCATGCCGAAGCCCGTTGGGTTGATCCATTTTTCGCTGGATTGGGCTCAGTCTTGGCCCATTACGTTACCTCATATTGTTCAGCACATGTCCAAAAATCACGGCCCCATGGTTTTCATGCATCAGGACACCATGTCGGGTCCAGGTACCATCTTTCCTTTAAGTTTTGTTTTTATTAAGAATTGTATCTCTTGTCTTCCTATTATATTCTTCATTTTAGTTTTTACTAGCTACAGTGCCCGCGCGTTTCTGAGGGATTGAAAATTATATTTCAGATTATGCAAATCCATTTACTTCATAAGCAATGTTTGAGTCAAGAAATGAGCATTACAAATGAAAAAAACAAAAAAAAACAAAAAAAAAAAAATTTAAAGTGACAAAGAGGCCTCAATGATCTGGCTCAATTCATCATTCAAGACTTGGTTGAACTGTGATTTGCTCACTCTATCCTTAAACAAAAGAAAATCAAACCAAGTTCAGCAAGAATTATGCACGATCCTTGTGAAACTATATAACGAATGATACAACATTGTTAAACAAACATGGGCTGGAGCTGATCTTAAAATTCATATAAAAGGTAGTGGTTTTCTTGAGAGTTTGTAAGTGTCATCACCCCAATCTTGTACTTGATCATATATACCAAGGTGTTGAAGCTAACATTTCTAATCTAAAAGCCTAGAAATCATAAGGCAAAGAACAAATATTTTGTCTTGTAAGCAACCATGCCTATATAATCGAATTTTGCTTACCAAGGTGGTCTAACTAATATTATTCATAGAAAAGAAAAATGAATAAAAAGAAAATAAGATAGACCAAAAACTTTTTTTGGATTGGATAAATTAGAGCAGATTAAATAAAATAGACAACGGGAGTGTAAAAATCATTACCTTTTGATTTGTCATATCTGTGATTTATAAAGTGGATACCAAAGCTCTCAATCGTTGACAGTTATGGCATTTTGTTGATTGATTTGTCTAATCTGGGATGAACATGTCGAGCGACATTTCTAAGCCAAAAGCTATTGAGGGGCTTCCTAGATCATAAATTTTGTCGAAGAGGTATTCAGAATGTATACTATGTGGAATAAATGTAATTAAAATTTACCTTAACACACTGCTTTTAAGAGAACTAGCATCTTGGAGAGTTTTTGGTTCAACCTGAATAAAAAAAACCAACAAAATTTGAAATTGAAATAGTCAAGATTTTTTCAAGCTTGAAATTAAATTATTACAAAATGTATTTAGTGGTATCGTCATCGAACCTGATGTTTTTTCTAATTGACCAAAGATTGTTTTTTCTCTTTCTATTCTGTTCAAAATGTCTTTTTTTCTGCACTTTTTGACCAAATACATTGCAAATTACTTAATGATCATTCATTTTTTTAAATTATGTTTAAAAGAAAAAAAACAAAAGCGACCTTACTGTTACTTATCTAAACTAAGCCTTTATAGTGATGTTAATACCTATTTCAATTTGAAGGAGTAATTCTTCCTGATCGAAGAAACATCCTGAAGTGTATGGTTATTGTGAGAAGGCAAATTACCAGGTACTGAAACACTGCATTCAATTTTCTCATTTGCCTGAATAAGATAATATAGAACCAAGGTTAGGAAGCATAACACAGAGGAAGAAAAATATAAAATCAAAAAGTGGATTTAGTTTTCTTATTTTCCATATACTACAGTCCATGATCAACACTACTAAAATTTGGTAAAAAATTTGTTAATCTTGTAATTCTGTGGTTTTAGACAAATTACGTTGGTTGGATTTATTTTTTACACAAATGGAGACATTTTTCAAATAGGCATAAAAAAAAAAAAAAATCCAAGATTAATACGTGCAAACAAAAAGAAATGAGTATGGAAAACAGAAACATACATCAAAAAATAAGAGTGCATGGATCACCACGTATTCAATTCAACTTTCATACCTGAAAATACTGTTTAGCAGAGCACTCAAAACGAAACGCAAATATTATATACCTTGAGCACAAAGGAGTTCCAACGTTGTATACAAAAGCCCAAAAATTGCATCACCGTTTCCTGAAACTGAAACCCAAATCAAATCAAATACCCACACGCAGCATGGAAACACACACAGAAAACACTCAAAATTCCATCACCACCGTTTCCTGAAACTGAAAACCAAATCAATTCAATTCCCATTCTACCCACCATCCATTTCATCATAACTCATAAATCCCCAACAAATAAATACAAAAATAAATAAAAGTGCGAAATTAGAAATAAGTACTTGGAACATAAGCGAGTTTGAAAAAAGCATTTTTCTTCGCGAAGATCGAAGCTTTGACAAAAAACAGGAAGAACATAGACAGAGCAACAATGGCAGCACGGACTGAAAAGTGCATTGCTTGGAAATCTTGGAGAATCTGATTCATGGGCGCCATTGATTTTCTAAGAAAGTTGAGAAGAAAGGTGTTGGGTCTGCTGCTGGATTGGTTGTGAAAGTTGCATTCACCCAATAGAATAGCACAGCATCGAGACAATTTAAATCGAGTGGGATCTATAGGATGGAAGAAATCACAAAAGCTTTTGCCGTGGTGGAGCAAATGGCAGAAGGCAGGGTAGAAAAGACGCCATGGAGAGAACTCGAGAACGGTGAATGGAAGGGGTAAAGAAACTGAGAGGAAAATATCTTTCTGAAATATTACAATTTCATTATTTAACTAGAAAATAATTACATGAGTATGGTATTTATAGTCATAACAACAATAACAACTAATAACCTCTCTAACTAACTTGTACACATAGCACATTACAATTAGGTAATTAAAAACAGAATGTATGTCATGATTTGGCATCCTCATCTTTACACCCCCTCAAGCTGAGCTTGGAAGAAGTTGGAGTTCCAAGAGATAGCTTGGATTGAAGAAGAAGGAACCGGTTCTTGGTCAATGACTTAGTGTGAATATCGGCAATTTGGTCCTCAGTACACACATACTGAACTTGCAGCAGATTAGCAAGAACCAACTCTCGAATGTAATGATAATCTATCTCAACATGCTTTGTTCGAGCATGAAAGACAGGATTGGAGGCAAGAGAGATAGCAGAGATGTTGTCACACCAGATTGTAGGTTTGGAAGATAAGGGAAAACCAAAATCATGAAACACCTTACAGATCCATGTAATTTCAGCTGCAGTATGGGCCAGAGATCGATATTCAGCTTCAGTGGAGGATCTAGCCACTGTAGGCTGCTTCTTAGCACTCCAGCTGATTAAGTTTGTGCCAAGATATACACAAAAGCTGCTGGTGGAACGACGATCGAATAAACAGCCAGCCTAATCAGCATCAGAAAAAGCAGAAAGATGAAGAGAACTTTTCTGAAACCATAAACCATGATCAGAGGTGCCTTTGAGGAATCGGAGAATCCTTTTAGCAGTTTGCAGATGAAGATCAGTGGGATTATGCATGAACTGGCATACTTGATTGACAGCAAAAGAGATATCAGGCCTAGTCCAAGTCAAATACTGTAATGCACCAACCAGGGATCTATATTCAGTAGGACTGGAGAGAGGAATGCCACTGTGATCCAGTTTAGTAGTGCCAAGAAGAGTACAACATGGCTTGGCACCGTCCATTTTGGTTTTCTGAAGCAAATCCAGAAGATATTTGCTTTGATGAAGAAATAATCCTTTTGATGATCGTTGAACTTCCAACCCAAAAAAAAAGTGAAGGGGACCTAAGTCCTTGACTGGAAACAAAGATCCAAGTTTCTGAATAAACTGCTGGCACACTGCCGGATCGGGACCACTGATCAATATGTCATCCACATAAACCAATACTATAACTAGGACAGGAACTTTGATGACAAAGAGAGATGCATCAGAACAAGATTGAGTGAAACCAAAGGACTTGATAGCTTGAAAGAGTTTATCAAACCATGCCCGAAGAGCCTGTTTGAGGCCATATAGAGACTTGTTGAGTTCACACACATGATGTGGCAGATTAGAATCAGTAAAACCAGGAGGTTGTTGCATAAACACCTCTTCTTGTAAGTCACCATGAAGAAATGAATTACTGATGTCAATTTGATTTAGAAACCAATTATACTGAACTGCAACAGTTAACAGAATCCGAATAGTGATTGGTTTAGCTACAGGGCTAAAGGTTTCTTGATAATCCAGACCTTGTTATTGGTGAAAGCCCTTGGTAACTAATCTGGCCTTGTATCTTTCAATAGAACCATCAGGCCGTTTCTTAATTCGAAACACCCATTTGCAACCAACCACATTTTGAGAAGGTGAAGAAGAAACTAAGGACCAAGTTCCAGTAGCTTGAAGAGCATTAAACTCATTTTGCATAGCTAATCGCCATTCACTGTGCTTGGAAGCTTGATTATAAGTAGTGGGAATATAATCAAGAGTGGATGGTAAAGGGTGTTTAGTAGCAGAGTAAGCTTTAGGTTGAAAAATACCATTTTTGGATCTAATAACCATGGGATGATGGTTAGTAACTGCTACAGAAGAGGAAGGATCAATATATTGATCAGGAGATGGAGAAGGGGAGGGTGAGGAAATATGTGAAACAACAGGGGGAGGAGGTGGAGGAGCAGGAGAATGTGAAGAGGAAGAAAGAGGGAAGTGAAGATCAATGATGGGAAGAGCAGGACCAGGTAATGGTAAGCACTGTGAAATAAGAGTGTGTGAAAAAGGAAAGACTTTCTCATTGAACAATAC